CATAAATGTGCCTATCAAGAAATGTATTTGCATTGTGTTTCAAGGGAAGGAAAAAACTCAAAATAAAACTTAGGGAAGAAATCAATTCCAACAAAATAAGTCAAATATGTGAAGTGTTAGTGCAGAGAAATAAGCACAAAATGTTGAGCAGGTAAGAAAGCTCTCAAAATCTTTAGTCAAGTCTGGATTATTATAACAGAATCTTATTCAGGTTTCACTCATTCACAACTGTAACAAGAGTCAGGATAAAACGTAACTTTGCATCAACCAAGGGAAAAAGATTTTTAAGCAAACAAATGACAACGATTAGGATTTACCTTCTTAAGAGAAAAAACTTAGAATTTTTAGGGCTCCATCGTAATAAGAGTAACTAGTGTGGATGGGGATGGTCGTTGTGATATGCTACACAGGAATTATTCTTACACAAACAAAAGCCCTCCTTAATTAACAGTGTAAGGTTTAATAATTAATTTGGTTAAAGTTACATGAATGATAAGATTTTATCTTAAAAATAAATAGGAGCAGACCTTATTTCCTTGTTATTCTAAGTGGGTGTTCTGAAAGACATTTGAGAGAATAAAAACCCAGTTAAGAATCTTTTCAAATAAAGAATAAGACCTTAAGAAAACTAGCTATGAGGTTTCCACTAAATTCCTTATTCTGCTGCTGCTTACGAAGCATAAGCCAGAAAAATGGCCAAATCCAGTCCTACTGACAGAATTTTAAAGCTGAAAGAACACCAGCGATAACCTAGTACACCTTCCACATACAGAAGAGGAAACAGGCTCAGAGTGACTTAGAGGACGCCGATCAGCAGAGAGAGCCTGTGAAGCTCAAGGCACAGCTAAGGCTCTTTACTATAGAAAGTAGTCCACAGTATCCGAACCAATCCTCACGACGCCTTTTATTAAGGCAACGCAGGCTGCGGGAAGGAGCTCAGCTGTAGCCAAGTCCCTATGCTATTGCCGGGTTTGCAGTCTGCCCTGGACCTGGAGGCCAGATCAGTAATATTAGACCGTAAGGGTACGGTCTACACTAGCGCTAAAGAGCTACAAACGCTTCCTCCTTAAGCGCCTTTTCTTCCGGCCCAAGACTCCTATGCTTTTAACAAGGGGTCCTACAGCCGAGCAAACGACGGGGCAGGCAGTAAGTGGGAAAACTGTCCGTCCACGATCAAAATGAAGCACACACACACTGACCTCTGGAGTGGATGTGGCAAAATAAATTCTGACCCCCTCCTGGAACGACTATTTGGGCAAGTTTCTAAAAAGGACATCAAGTTACCTCCAGCAGGTAGTTTTCAGTACACATAATCCAGTGCCTGAGTCTGCTTTCTCTGGCCACTACAGGTACAGGCTGGGTCCCAGCAGCACAAGCTCGGAAACCATCATCCAAGTTTTCAAACAAGAACGCGTAAGCAAACAACTGCTGCTAATACAACATACAAACATTAACATATGCCCCACGAACAGTTTTCTGGATCATCAGATTATTTGCCAAAAGCCGGCTCCGCGGTAAATAATAGTTACTGTTGTTATACCCAAACGAGTTATACATGACACAGCTTGCTCCTCAGAGAGAACATTCTACAGTCTTTCAAGAATGAAAACCTGCTTTATTTGGCACACAACAGTGAAGAGGTCTTGCAACATGTGCAGAGGTAGTCAAACAGCAGTTCAGTGCGAGCCATCACAAAATTTGGTCACCGACCAAGCCAGAGCGAATCTCCCAGCTCCTGTAGGTTAGCAGACAATATTAACTCACTTTCCGCTTGTTGACTTTTGCGTCCCTTTTATTTGTGTACTGAAAGAACAGGTACCTCTGTGGGGACTCTACGCCCAGTTTAATTATTTATTAAGTTTATTTTGGGCAGGTATCGATCACCCCTTTCTTAAGTGAGTTAGATTCTAAAATTAAAAACAAACAGAAAACAACAAAACTCCCTCTCCGGCCAGATGGATGCATTCTCCCTCAGCGGAGGCGCCACGGCCCAGCCGCCGCTCCGTTTCCTCCACGACGCTCGAACTCTGTCCCACCAGATTCCGAGAGCGGCAGGGGTGGGCTGTAACCAGAAGGCACTCGCCACAACCTTCAGGAGTCGGGGCGTGACCCTCACCTTGACTCTGGGCGGTTTGTGGGGACCAACTCCTTCCTTGCTGCCGCTCTTTGCTCTGAGTTTCCAGGGGCCCCAGACCCGCTGCGGGACCCTCCACCCCCACCCCCGGGCCTCACTCCAGCGGCGGGGGACTGTTTCCCCGCTGACCTCGGGGGCAGAGGTCGAAGGCCCGCTCCCGGACGCCGGAGGCCGGCCCCGGCGCCGCCGCCGAGCCCGCGCGGCCTCACCTGCCTCTCCCCGGAAGCCCCAGCGCGGTCCCATCCCGCCCCGCCTCCCCGCCCCACGACCTCGGAGTCGCGGTGCCGGGACCCACACGGCAATGGCGCGGCCGGAAACTGGCCCCGCGACTTCCTCGGGCCGGATCCGGGCTGCGCCGGGCCTGTGGGCGGGGCGGGGGGCTGCGGCTTCCTCCTTCCTGCTTCCGGCTCGGCGGTGAGGTAGGAGTCGGGGTCCGAGGCCAGGGTCCCGGGCGTCATGCGTGCGAGGCCGGAGGCGGCGCTGCCGCTGGTTCTGCCGCTGTCGGGCGGAGACGGCGGCGCGGGCTCCGTGAGCCGCGCCAGGCCGCGCTCGTCAGGGCTGCTGACCGGCAGCGGGGCCCCGAGGGCCGGGCGGCTGGGGGGTGGGGCAGGCGGACGGAGGCGGGAGGCCAGTGCGGAGGGCGCTGAGACGCCGCGAGCTGCAGCTCCGGGCGCGGCGCGGGTGTGGGCCGGAGATCACCCCAGTCGTCCCATTTCAGAAGGAAGAAGAGTAATATTTACCCTGAAAGTGTGGGAGCCGCGGGCGCTTGTGTCCGAAGTTGGGGCGCACGGGACGTGTGTGGCCTGTGGACAGTAACTCCTTTCTTAGTGTTAATGGCTGAAACTTTGCCATAAACCAGGTTATTCACTCCCGCTCGACTTCAAGTGCGTTCCTGATCTCTGAATCTTGCGTGAGTTAGTTCATTACTGGGCTGGAGAAGCTGAAGAAACACGGATCTCAGTGGAGCCCAGACTCGACTGTGTGCGTGGGGGCGTACGAATTCTGGGGGGCTAGGAGATTTAACAGTGTGTCAGCCACTTTAATGTATTTTCAGTTGAAAATATGAAGAAACCGTGGAAGGATATAATTAAAACCAGCGACATTAGTTTTCTTGAAGTGATGAGATCGTGGGTGATTTTTATTTTGTTTTGATTATCTCCAGATTTTTCTATAAAGAGCACGGATTGTACAATAGGGAGCAAAAAAACCCTTTAGAGTAAGGTGAGATGTTTGATTTTGTAATTATGTATCTAATTCTATAAATGAGAACATTTTTAGTATAAAAAGTTGAAGATCTGGGAATGGATATGCTGTAACATTATGAGTGAGCCGACTTGTCTTTTAATATGTCATTGAGCTTCATAAATAATTTTATTGTTGAAATAGGTAGCTTTGTGAAAAACTTGATTCTCCAGTAATTAGGATTTTCTTACAGGGCATTTGCAGTTGTAGTAATTATTTTTCTTTAAGTTAGGAAGAAAGAAAGAGATAGGAAATGTCTATAATGTGCTAGGTAATTCTACATTTTATTTATAGGTTGCATATATAGAATTGGGAAATTTTCCATTTAAAATTGTATTGTAATTATCCTGAAAGTTGCAACTTAAACTTTCTTTTATCTATTCTTTTCAAGCCACTCAACATAGAGAATTTAAATCTTCTCTCAGAATTGTATGGTAGAGCTCTAGAAGACAACCAGCCAAGGGTCATCTGAAGTTCTGATTGGCTCTCTGATAACCCAGGACAAAGTTAGAGAGAACTGCTCCAGCATAAGGTAGATGCTTTTTAAAATCCCAACTGAAATTGTAAGTGACCGTATATACACCCCTTCCTACCCGGGTATTCTAATTCTCCACTTTGAACAGGGGCTGACACAAACACGAAAGGTTGAAAAACCTCTGGGGCAAAATAGAAAATCTCATTCAAATCCGTACCATCCTCATTTGCCAGATGGCCCTCCCTTACCACCTTGAAATGGAACAAAATACATGTCACCTGTTAGGGTTAATTTTCTCATTTATTAAATTTATTAAATTATGTCCTCAGAGCTGAAATGAGGACATGAAGTAGCATGTCACATTTTGCATTTATCTCTTAGCATATGAATGCAGATATTATCATGGCTCCCTTACCTTTTCCTTTTCATTTTTGGAAACAGCCATCCATTACCTCCCTTCCTCCAAGCATTTAATATACTCTGAGGCTTGTCCTTTTCAAACACCAAATTTGACAATTCATACTTTTGTTAATTAGTACTTCATGGTATTAAGGCTGTGTCAAAAAATGATAAACAGGATTCAGCTGTCTCCTGGAATGAGTGCATAAAACTCAACATCCTTATAAAAGTCTGCTGCTAAATAAAGTGTGTCTTGAATATAGGAGGTATGTGAGAATGCACAGTCCTTATGACAGATGCCACATGGACTCTTTTAAGTGTCACTCTTCTGGTGTCCTAGTTGAATTCTTTTTCCTTAATTAGTACTTTGTGTGTGTGAGGAAGAGTGGCCCTGAGCTAACATCTGTTGCCAATCTTCCTATTTTTGCCTGAGGAAGATTTTTGCTGAGCTAGCATCTGTGCCAATCTTCCTCTGTTTTTTTGTATGTGGGACACTGCCACAGTGTGGCTTCATGAACGGTGTGTAGGTCTGCACCTGGGATCCAAACCTGCGAACCCCAGGCTGCTGAAGCAGAGTGTGCGAACTTAACCACTATACCACCAGGCTGGCCCCTAATCAGTACTTTTTAAAAACAAAAAACTAATGAGTGCTAATGGAATTCTAAGTTAATTGATTGTATGATGTAACTTTTTCAAAATTTGATTAACCACATAGTCTTTTTCTCTTGTCCCCCCACCTCTTTTCCTAAGACCACTACAAAGATGTTTGATATAAAGGCTTGGGCTGAGTATGTTGTGGAATGGGCTGCACAGGACCCATATGGCTTCCTTACAACAGTTATTTTGGCCCTTACTCCATTGTTTCTAGCAAGTGCTGTACTGTCCTGGAAATTAGCCAAGATGATTGAGGCCAGGGAAAAGGAACAAAAGAAGAAACAAAAACGTCAAGAAAATATTGCAAAAGCTAAACGACTAAAAAAGGATTGAAGGAATGAACAGCCGGCGCAAACCAGAAGAAAATCATTTGGAAAATTATGAATTTGGAAGGGCCCCACTAGGGTTTCTTCTCTGGATTTTATGACGGTATTATTTAGTAAAGGAAGTCTGAGCTTATGGAAGAATCACGTTCTGACCTCTTAATGTACTGTGTAGCAACTGTTAGGCTTTGGTGTAAAAGTCTGTGGACAGTTCTTGTAAATTGGCATTTATTATGCTACAAATTCTTTATAGGTGACCTAGTCATTTGCCATTTTGCAACTTATATACTGAAATGAAAACATCCTGTGGAGAAAAATGACTTTTCATTATGAACTCCATTCAAATATGGCTTAAAATAGGGTCCTGGTCTAGATAAAGGAAATTAAGAATGTAAAAATCAGCATTGTCCTCTCTGAGTGAAAAGTATGCTTTGGTTTAAAAGAGATACAGTAAATTAATTACATCTTTTATCATTGCTTATTTCTTGGAATAGAATCATTTCTGGCTTTCTCAAAGCAAAATAATGAGTACTTCTATTTTCTGCATTTTTCTGATGTTAGCCTTTGAGATACTGGTAATTATTGGTCATTTTGCATTTTTTAAAATCTAATTTTATAAAGAATTCTCTTATTATCTTGACTATGTAGAATACCACCTACTGGATGTAACAATTTTTGTGCTTATGGACACTGCCATTTTCTTAGATGACTCGTTGAGTAACACTATGATTTAAAGCTTGCAGTAAAAACCCCAAACCTTGTAGTACCTTGGAAGCAGTTTATTTGTACTTGTGCTAAGTGGAAATGTGAAGTAGTTAAAATGTCTTATCAGATAATTTGCTGATTATATAGATACCACTTTTGTTTTCTATTCCAGTCATTGTTTTAACTCATGGTGGTAATGTCCTATACTGTTTGATCAAACAGGTTCATGGTGAAAATTAAAATTTTGATTTCTTTTGAGGAACTTTAAGTCAGATTTCACAAGTGGTAAACAAAAGCTTAAAATTTGGAAAAATTTTGTTGGGCATACTAGTAATTGGGTGAAAAGGTAAATTATGTCAAAATGAGAATGTGTTAAAATTCAAAATAAAGAGCCAAAGGATATTTCCTTCAGTTAAGTAGTAAAACTGGAATTTTTTACTATTAAATATGGCTTTTATAAATGATTGGTCCAATCATTTTATTCATTGTATTTAATATCTTATTAACGTTTTCCTCATCTCTGATAATTTTAAATTACAAAAACTTATCCAATAGCTTTCATTGAAAAATGAAACTAGATATTGAAATAAATTTGATACTTTTTTATAAAGAAGTCCTGGGTTTTTGTTTTTTGGGGGGAGGTAATAATTCAGTAATTCATGGAAGTTAGACTTTTTAGAGGGTTAAAAATTTCATTTATAACTAAACATACTTGTAAAAGTTGAGGGCAGTGTTTCTCAAATATGAGAACCTAAGGACCCCTGAGAATGTTTATGGACTGGTTTGAACAACACTTATTACAGTAGCCCCCCACCCCCATCCGCAGTTTCAGTTACCAGTGGTCAACTGGGGTCCGAAAATAATGTTGCATCACAGTGCTTATCATTCACTTCACTTCATCTCATCACCTAGACATTGCATCACTCACAAAGAAGGGTGAGTACAGACAATAAGATATTTTGAGAGAGAGAGAGACCACATTCACTTAACTTTTATTACAGTATATTGTTATAATTGTTTATTTTATTGTTGGTAAGTTCTTACTGTGCCTAATTTATAAATTAAACTTTATCATAGGTATGTATGTATAGGAAACAACATACTATATATGGGATTTGTTACTATCCAAGGTTTCAGGCATCCACTGGGGGTCCTGGAACCTATGCCCCACAGATCAGGGAGAACGACTATACTATTATTTTAGGTTTTTAGGTCGTCAGTTCCTGCTTGGCACCAGTGTAATCAACATTACATCTCCAGGCACTGAAATAACTCATTGTTATCAGTTATTCAGGTGATGGAAGATATATTTTTTATATTATCATTGAAATTAAATCTTTAAAAAAAACCCTTGTAGACAACTATTGGCCCTCGTGGGTCTGCAGAGCCCACTTTAAGAAAAACTCGGTTAAGATATATTCAAAATGTGTTTTGAGTTTCTGCAATCAAGCTGTTTATGGAAGGAATTTATATACGTATGTCTTGCTTATGGCCACATTTTAGAGTAAAAGTACTGAAGCAAAAGATATTCAACATAATTCTCAGTTATCTACTAAGGCTGTGGTTCATTGATTCTATTGTGACAATTTAACGGTATTTAAAAGTCTATTTTTCTATAATTTCTGTTAAAGTCTTAACACATGCCAATTTTGTATTTGTTTGACATAGGCCATATTATTTCTTCAGTTTTTCCCAACATTTATGGGGCCTTTTTATACATGTGAGATCAACAAAGTTTTATCATATTTGTATCTGTATGTTTGCGTGTGTATGAGGGAGGAGGGATGTAAAATAGAGGCTATTGTGAGGTTTGGGATTCTTCAAAAAGATCAATCTTCTTTTATTGTAACATAGGACTATTGTTGAAATAATCCCATACACTATTATCCAGAATACTAATTTAAAAAATTGCCTACCTATTTATGTTGTTTTTGAAGTTCTGAGAACTAATAACAGTCAATATCCTTTTTATGGCTAGTTTTGGGGAAAAAACAAACAGGCTGCCTGTAACAAACATTTTACAAAAAAAAAAAGTAAGTTTGTGTGTCAGAATTTGACCATAGTGTCCATGTGATAAAGTTCAGCATGGTATTACTGTATCATATGTGCAAGGACATTTTTTATCTCTTGAAATTACAGTAAGCAAACTGGAAATAAGCTTGGGAAGCTGTGAGCTGGAAACCCAGTGTTGAGATAAATTGTAATTGACAGCTCCTCAGCCATTCCTTCTTTGCTTACTCATGAAGTAAAGGAAAGTGGCCAAGGGCATGTTAGACTTCATCTAGTTTTAAGTTACAAGAAGTTTGGTTCCTATTTGGAAGTGATTGTTTTTATGTTCGCAATTGGTTATAAATTACTGATTTCCTTCATATCTGGAATAAAGATACAAGGACAAATTCTGTATTTCTCAAACATTCAAAGGGATTCCATGTTCAAATACCAAAAGTTTGGGAAACACACGGTAAAACTTAGGATTCATTCCTGCGTGATTTCTTGGAGTCTTAATATGACTACCATAGACTCCCCTCACCCTGTTTTTCCCTAAAGAGCACAAATGCAGTCTGAGAAAGCCTGGTCTAAATAAACTCAGGTTAAGGTTTAAATAGTATGGCTAACGAGACAGCATTAAAAGCAATGGTATTGGTTTAAGGCTGAGTAAATTAAGAAATAAATGACAGCCAGAAATCTGTTAGAAGTAGAAATGGAAAAGGATAACAGATAATGGGGAAAAAAATTATTTCCTCCATTTTTGTTGATTTTTAACTTCAAATATCCAAGGCATAGCCAATAGGTTAGACTTACATGATTAAGTTCGACAGCCAACACATTTTCTATACTTAAGCAGTTCATATAATGCAATAAGCCCATTACTGAAAAAAAATGCTATATGCATGTATAGCGAGGCATAGGAAGTCAGGATTTACCTCTGAGGAAGTACTTAAGGTACTTAAGGTATATATGACACTCTTTATTTCAAAATGAACATTTTTACTTTTGAAATTAAAAATTTGCATAGATTTGAAGTCTGTCTTGAAGAGATGAAGAAAGACATTTTCATTAAAACAACTTGTAAATGCCCCAAATATAACTATTTAAAATGTGAAATACAGTGGACAAGCTAATATTTTATTTAATGCTTTAATTCTACTTTCCATGTTGTCTGGCCTAAAAGCCAAGTATAAAAAAAATTGTTTAGAAAGGCAGTCTTAATTAGGCCAAGATTAAGGGCCAATTTTTATGTAGGACATTTAACTCTGTTCATATACCACCTAACACTCAACCAGTCACACCTAAAAAAACGTTAAAAAAACCCTAAAAAACTTGGAGAAAGGAATGTGGATGGGTTACTACAAAGTTCATTCCCACTTCTCAAAATCCCTTTGAAAGTGCATGCTCTACTAATAATGGTGGGCCAGGGTCATCATCTTACCGTACCAGAAGGTATTTTCCCACAAGGACTCTTGGCTAAGATTTTCTTTTGCTGCTTATGTAAAAGAGATATTTTTAAATGAAAACCATGAAAATTAAAATTAATGTATATTCTGTCATATGTTAAGATATTTATAAACAGACTGGCATTTGTTTACAAAAGATGTATATGGAAGATAACTAATAAGCTAATAGGAATTTGGCAGAAATATTCTAGCATGTTACAACATTTTTCCTGTAACACACGATTTAAGAACATCTTAATTTACAATCAATTATACTACAAACATTACCTCTTTTTATACTGTGTAGTGGCTAGTTCCTTTTTTGCCTGTATGGTAAATGTAATATTACTTTGTGATGATGTAAAGAGACAGAATGGCTAACCTGATATTAACGGGGCTGCTGGAATGTTAGTATTATCACCTAGGAGCTTTTTTGTCATTCAATAAGTATGTTATGGTGATTATATTTGATTACTTGTTTTAGTGTAAAGTTTTATAAAGTTGTATTTTTCTGTAGTTTATTTCTCAAGCAATTACAATTTTTACCCTCTATTAAGTAAAAATCTTAACCTCTGTGTTTTTAGGAATTCATTGTTAACATTTAACCAAGGATTTCCTTGTATTATTCAAAGCATTAAAATTTGGGTCACTTATTCAGTACATATTTATTGAGCACCTATTATAATGCCAAACACTGTGAGAACTCTATATTAGAATTAGAACTCTTTATTAGCAACAAAAACTTGGCTGTGTACTTCAGAAAATGTATGGCCCTCCCTTCAAAAATACTTTTGTATAAAATCAGTGTTTTCACATTATCTTCTACACTGTTCTTCAATATACAAGCCACTGGAATCCTCACTATCAGTGCAACTGCCTTCTGAGAACCCTCCCCCGTTTTCTCAAACTAATTTTTAATGTCATGGAACTCCAGCTATTATACCATTTCTCTGTTCACTTTCCTTTCAGACTTTGGTGATGGACTGCCGACTTCTATTGGTCCTAATTCCTGTCTTCAAACTCTAACCTCAATCCCATCATAAGCTAGCTTCTGTCCCATCTACTCATCAAGGTCTTTATGGTGTCTTTTTCATTTATCAACCAAATTTTCTTGGAGCAATGCAAGGAGGGAAAAACTAGGCAAATTCATAAACAGAATGATGACTAAATCAAGTGAAGGATTTTAAGTCTAAAAGAAGTTAGGTTTCTATAGTTCATCACCTCACATTTCTTACACATACTAAAAATGAATTCTTAAGTGCAATGGAATAGAGAACTACCGTACAGTCAGAAAATACAAAGTCACTTTTTACCTCTTTTATTCATTAAAGTAGTCACATACATATAAATGAAATGATTTTACCACACTGCATTCATTGATTGTGGCTCTTGCCATCTTGTGGCATCCAGGATCCTGGTTGAAAGGTTTTGCCAGTGCTGGTGGGAGCTGCTGAGGGTTCTTCCTTTCCAAAGTACGGAGCAGAGGCATGCCCTTTAATCTGAGTTTGCACTGGTGGAGCCAAGAGTTCCTCGTTGTTCTCTTTACTAAGGAGTTTTCCTTTTTCATAAAAATCTTTGCTTTTTATTTTTATTTCTTCTCTATATTTTTCATTCTTTAGTATTTCCTGCATGTATATAAATGGAAGAAATTATTAAATTTCTAGTTAGAAGTAAACCCAAACCATGGGTTTTATGAAAATAAAATGGCTAATAAAAAATAAAGTACATATATACATGATACTTGCTTTGCATTTAAATAATATACAGGTATGTACAGGATAAGTTTGAAAAAGCTATCTGATTATACACCAGTGTTATTTGAATTAAACAGCTCTGTCCTCATATACTGTAATACAAAGACATGAAGGACCATGAAATAGAAATATTTACTATCTAATAAGTGAAACAAACTATTTAACATGAAATATTACACAAGACCATAATAGTCACTATCAAAAATATTCTAAGCTTAACAGCTATTTTCTGCCTCAAGACTAATCACCAGTGATTGTACTTTCTACTGAAGTTGAAGTGAAGGTGAGATGGCCTCAGAAAGATGCTCCTACCAGTCTGACATTCTCTGTGAGAATTAAAACATGGATGCTAAGGCCACTTATTCTATAGTGCCAGAACCAATCCCTAACTATTTCTCTTTCTCCACTGGAGTGGTATGGCAGTGAAGAGGAGGATAGGAATGGAATCAGAGTTCAGCACGCCCTAGAGACCAGTTCCAGAGAGGCACTCTGCTATTGGAAATGCTTCCTCAGTCAGTGCAAGCACTCTGTGCAATGCAGTGCTGTCCCTCAGATTTGCTATTCTATCTGTAAGAATCTATACCCCAAATTACAAAGACTCTATTGCTATATTTCATTGAATACAAGACCATCAAATTTAAGAAGCATCGTTGTACATGTACCACTAAAAAAGGCAATTAAACTCCTTCACATATCCTGATTTCAGACATGTTAAAATTTGAAAAGATGTGCATCTTAAAAACAGATGAAATATAGTAATTACATCTTTTATCTTTATTGATTCTCTCTTCCTCTTTTCTTCAATCTTAATGATTATTTCTAAATGGGTGAAATTTTCTAATGTTCTTTTTGCTTATCTGTATTTTCTGATTTTTTTAAGAACATGTCATATATAATATGAAAAAAGTGTGAAAATTAATGTAACTGACTATCATCTGACAACACTGACAAAAACAAGTTCTCCCAAGTTCTTTTTTAATTTAAACACTTTTAAAAATGACACTTAAAGCAACATCTGGGTTTCGAAATTTTTTTTTTAAAGATTGGCACCTGAGCTAACAACTGTTGCCAATCTTCTTTTTTCTTTTTTATTCTTCTCCCCTAAGCCCCCCAGTACATAGTTGTATGTTCTAGTTGTGAGTGCCCCTGGTTGTGCTATGTGGGACGCCACCTCAGCATAGCCCAATGAGCGGTGCCATGTCTGCGCCCAGGATCCGAACCAGCGAAACCCTGGGCTGCTGAAGCAGAGCGCACGAACTTAACCAGTCTGCCACGGGGCTGGCCCCTGGGTATCTAAATTTATGATGCAACCTGTCTGTTTCTACAGTGAATTTCAAGTAATAATAGTTCTTTAAAGAGGTAAGCACTGATATTTAAAATAATGGTTTATACCTAAAGGAAAGAAAAGAGTTTTGGGGGTTATAGTGTTATAGACTTTTAGTTTTAGACACAAAGTAGGGCCCATCTAATGAAACTTCCCCCTCAAAGCAAACATGTGAGGGAAAGAATACTTATAAATATTCTTGTAATTTCCTCAACATAGACCAATTCCCCATGAGTAGTTTATGTTAATAACCACAGTAACTATGAGTCTAGGAGCAGTTGCTATGAGTGAGGGTGAGAATAGCCTGGCTTTGCCTTTCATACCCCCTGTAGAATTCTCAGGCGAGGTGACCATACATCACAAAGGAAATCCATCAATATGATCCTGGAAATAATGGAAGTAGATGAAAATCTTTTCCTTATCTCCACATTCTTCAAGACCTTCTATGAACTGCTATGTCTTCGTGGAAGCTCTTTCTCTTGAGCAGAATGAAAGGTTCAGGACTGTTGAAGCGGCACTAGGAACCCACCACACGTGACAAGAGGCTACTGAGAAGCGGGACTGCAGCTTGCTTTGTTGTGGTATAAGGAGACCAGTCGCATGGCCTGAAGCTGCCCATGCCTACTTTCTTTACTCGGCCTCTTGTGCTGCAGTTTGACAGCTCGTGCAAGCCTATGCCTTTTGCATAAATGGAGATGGAGGGCAGAGAGCTGTTCTTTCTTTTTTTCCTGCCTTCACATAATTTTTCTTTACTCACCATTATTCTGCCAAGTCAGTTTCTTTCTTATACCAGCTATTTAGGCAATGAAAAGCCAATCTAAGTAAGTTACTTATTTTAACACATGAAGATGGATTAAAGATTTCAGAGTTGAAAAACATGGAGACTATAATTTTTCCTAGAAAAGAATTTCCTTTTTGTCTTTTTTTTAAAAACTAATTGTTACCAGACTCCTGCTAACAGCTTCCAGAAAAATTAAACAGAACATAAATCACTTATGAAAGGAAATCTAGTTTTGTAAATATTTGGAATAGACAAAATGAAAGTAGTTAGGTAGAAAAAACAGGAATTTGTAGACTTAAACAGAAATTATTTCATAAGAAAGCCTGTTTTACAGTAGAAACTACCACAAAGCTAGGATTTTCCCTTAATGTCCTTGGAACAATATCACCTTAAGTCTCAATATGTTTATCAATAAAAGCAGTATGTTTGGTAGCAAGTAGGTCTTCCTTCACATAAATGTTTATAAACAAATATTTATCCTTCTACATACTGCTTTTCTCCCTGTCAAAAAATATTCTTCAACATTTAAAAGAAAGAGAGTTGTACGGTATTTTATCACTTGCATTGTTCCATGATTTACTTAATGACTACCCCTATTGTTTCCAATATTTCACTTTTTCATTTTAAAAAATAGAAGGGATGACCATCCACATAGATAGTTCTTTGAGCCAAACAGACATAGTTTCAATCCCAAATCTACCTCTTACTGGCTGTGACACCAAGAAAGTCACTTAACTTCTTTCAGTCTGTTTCTTTATCTGAAAATGGGAATAAAGTGACTGTGTACGCATGTATAATTATTTACACCTCAAATACTCATCTGTGTACTGTTCACATTGTTAGGTCTTCTGAAAGTTTCTTAATAGTGCTTAAGAACATGGACTCTGAAGCAAGACTACCTGCATACATTTGATTGCATACAAATCCCAGTTTTGCCATTTACTAGCGGAGTGACCCTGTCAATGTTGCTTAACCTCTCTGTGTCTCAGTTTCCTTATGCGTAAAATGGAGATAACAATACTGTCTTCTTCAATGGGCTGTTGTAAGGACTGAGAAAGAAGTGGCTGCTGGGCAGTGACAGTACAACAGAAAACGTACAGGTGGATTTTTAAGTAATGACTGTTTATTGCATTCCATTAAAAAATAAACATAACAAACTTATATCCATCCCTCTTTCTCTTCTCAGGGTAGGAATATAGTCTCAATATTTATACTTTTGTTTAAGTACTTAAAATTTTAACCCACTAGTTTGTGATATACATTGAATAACTATTTGTTGTGAAAATTTTGTACATAGGAGAATCCCCCATAAATTGCTACAGTCATTAAGAATAAACAGACAAAATTCATAATTTTTCAGGGATGAAAAATCTCCAATGTTTTAACGTGCTACAAGCCTCCAACAAAGGCAGCAACCATTGCTACTGGATTGAGAAGAGAGGTGTTGGAATAAGACATAATCTACTGGCTTGAGAACAAGATGGAGTAACTGGTGCCAGATTAGCCCTCCTGCCATAAACAACTAAAAAACTGGACAAAAAATTTTAACCTTTTCCGATACTAAACAATAGGCAGTGTAGTACTGTGATCCCTAGAAGAGGGGAAACAAATGAGATGAGCCCTGCATCACCTCAGTTTTTTCTGCCTAGAGGTATATTATGGGCTGCTACACAGAGTCGGGGAACCCAAGCAGAGGTTGGCAGTCTCAATGAGCTAAAGAGATAGAGATGGTTGGTTAGGGAGGCTGAGGAAGCTGGAACTTATGGAGCAGAGTATTAAAACATATAGAGAAAAATTCTAGAAATCTACATAGGGGTCCACTTGAGTGTTCAGCTGAGAAAAATTCTAGAAATCTACATAGGGGTCCACTTGAGTGTTCAGCTGAATATTAAGCTATATGTAGGTAGAGAGAGACTCTGCAGAACCAGGAAGGTCAATTTCTGGCTAAAGAATAACTACAAGCCTCCCTTGGACATACTGCAGTTCCAGACCACTGCAATAATATGAGTATTGCAGTAAAGTGAGTCACATGAATATTTTGGTTTCTCAGTACATATAAAAGTTATGTTTACACTATACTATAGTCTATTAAGTGTGCAATAGCATTATGTCTAAAAAAAAGTACATACCTTAATTAAAAAATACTTTATTGCTAAAAAATGCTAACCATAATCTGAGCTTTCAGAGAGCTGTAATTTTTTGCTGGTGCAGGGTCTCATAAAAACCACAGTATCTGTGAAGCGCAATAAAGTGAGGCGCAATAAAGTGATGTATGCCTGTAGTAGGGAGCTGTAAAGTGAACAACTGCTAGAGCTTGCATGAGACTAGGAGACATTCAAGTTCTCCTCAGCCAGAGATGCTTCACTGAATACACAGGGCATTCAGTATATAGACTTCAGAAAGATCACTTTTTAGGAGTAAGGATAAACTGGCATGAGAGTAGAGGTAACCTAGACCTGCCCTGTCAAATATGTAGCCACTAGCCACATGTTATTTAAATTAATTAAAATAAAACAAAAAATTCAGTTTGTCAGTTGCACTAGACACATTTCAAGTGTTTAGTAGCTAAATGTGACTAATGCTACCATATTGGAAAGTGCAGATATAAAACATTTCCATCATTGCAGAAACTTCTATTAGACATCACTGCTTTAGATCCACCTGAACAAAACTTAAAAATAAGCCTCCAAAAGTTCAGGCTGGTTCACATATAAATTAATGTACTCCAAAACAAAACTCAACATTTTTTCAAGGAAGACAAAACCC